ATATATATATATATATATATTAAAAAATACCTTGCTACGTGTACTGCGTTAGGCTAACCGAGACTTGTCATTTGCACTTACATTTTGTTAGTTTTGATTGCTTCTATTGTCCTCATTTGTAAGTCGCTTTGGATAAAAGCGTCTGCAAAATGACTAAATGTAAATGTAGAGCTAACAACTTCAGGGTCGCGGGTTTTGTAGTTAAACAAGTTTGTTTATCAGAGCTGCCAAGCAAAGCTGTCCTTGTTTTCTGTTCATTAAGTAGTATGCACACAGAACAAACACACACACTGACACAGTAGCAGTAATCAGTCTGACCAGCTGATCGCATGTGACATACAGCCTGCAGTGACACCGGTCAACCTCATTACTGATGGCAGGGTGAAAAATACAGACACACATTTATTTCCAAGAGGTTTAGGCCAGACCAAGAGCTAGACCATTAAATGCTGCTATTATGTGTTCTGAGTCGTAGATGAGAGCACACGTCAATTCCAGATATTTTCTGTTCCGAAAATACCTGGACAATATCCTTCACTTCATCATGCCTAAAACAATCATCCCGCTTTACACAATGGTAAGAGCCTTTTTGTGTTCTATCATCTTGTTTTTCGTTGTTCACTAATTCATATGCCTGATTACTTGCCTCTTAGTTCACATTCACCAGAACACGGTACCATGAAACGGTGAAGCACTGGCATTGGCAAAATAAGGTGAAGACAAACCTGTATGTTTGAAAGTGCTTGAGAGCAACGTTTGGCTGATAAATGACCCGTACCAGTGTAAAATCAGGAACCATGAGAGGCTAAAAACAAAGTGTTTTAAAATGGCTCTTTCATTCTGAGCTATCAACAAAACATTATTTCACATGAAGATTCATTCGTCTTATGATCATAATAGCACATTTCAAACTGATGGTAGAAAAATATTAAAATTTAAAAAAAAAAAAATTAAATTAGAAACTTCAAAATGTCCTGCTGTAGTTCAGGAACTAATCAAAGCGTGTTTCCAGCACTGAAACCAATGAGCTGATTGTAAAAAATAAGTACTTGTCTTGCTGGTCTTTTGCAGGTGATCACTCAAGGTCTGTGGCTGTGTGGTGTTGTGTCGGCTGCAGGAGGGACGTATGTCTTGGTCAGATACTCTCACAAACTCCCCAGCATCTCTGCAGAGCACCTGTGGACCCGTATACTTGCTTTCTGAACTGTGCACAGGACATGCTATGTTGTTGTTTTAGTAGCCTTATCATGCTATTGCCTTGCAAAGGACGAACTCCCAAAGATGTTTCATGGATCTGTACTATACCAAAACTGAAGTCTTGTTCAATACAAGTTAAGCTCTGCATTTTGTGGCATGGTGTTGATTAGCAAAAAAAAAAACAAAAAAAAAAAACTGCATTCAAGTGTACATTTTACCAGCTCATGTTTTCAAGCACCATGCTCTACTACTTGAGTTACAGGAATGACAACTTGTTTGAATTATTCTGTAAAAACATTTAGTATTTGAGTTCTGAAAGTTGTCTAAATTGTCTTTTTTTTTTTTAAGTGGGAATACTTCTCGAAGTATTTTGAAACATTTATACAATTTAACGTTTATTTGCTGGTCCTGTGTACTTCCATTTGGAGTGGAGATTATTCTGTATTTTGTGTGATAATCAAATGTCTCATGCTTTTTACCTTGTGTTGAATCCAGAACATTACCTTGAGCTTGAAATTTTTGTAGAAAGGGAGAAAGAAAGAAAGGATATATAATATAATTAAGTATATACAGGTGCATCTCAATAAATTAGAACTGTGTGCACTGAATTTATTTAATACACAAGTTTCACAATTTGAGTTGAATTACTGAAATAAATGAACTTTTCCACGACATTCTAATTTATTGAGATGAACCTGTATAAGTATAATTCTGTTTAAGTTATAATTCAGGACAGGTATGCTTTTACTTTATATATACAGCACATATGTGTGGGTGTTGTGATCTCGAAGCACATACAGATTTATATAATTTCTTTGCTTTTAATTATTTTAAAAAGTCATGCTGATCACTGTCTGTTCTTGGAGTTAAATGTGACTGATTTGTTACATTAAATCATGCATGAACTTTTCTGCTTCATGGGTCTGTTCCAATCTTCTTTAGTGTTCTCTGCTTTATAGCTATTAGTTTTATTTAGTTTCCCTTTATCTTGTCTTTATTATTTGCTTGTAGCCTTTACTTTTACTAGTTATTTCCTAGCTATAGTTTTCTTTGTTTTCTGTTTTTTATTTACCTATACTCTAGTAGTTTTTCTAGTTATTGCTTAGCATTTGTTATCACCATCCATCTTGTGTTGTGTCTCTTGTATGTTTTTGTCCTGTAGGCTGAGTTTCAGGTATCAGTCATTCAATTGCCATTTTCGAACATAAGTCAGAATGTCTGTTTTTTTGTATTTACATTTACATTTAGCAGACGCTTTTTATCCAAAGCGACTTACAAATGAGGACAATGGAAGCAATCAAAATCAACAAAAGAGCAATAATATGCAAGTGCTATAACAAGTCTCAGCTTAATGCAGTATTAATTAATATTCATTAATGTTAATCTTACTAACTTAATGTTAGTAAGTTTATTAAGTTAGCTTAATGTATTAATCCCTTTCATGAAATTATAAACTATTTTTTTAAACCACCAAAGATGCAAAGACTGGTATTCAGCTTATGTTTTTGGTCATTATCCATTATCTGAATTTTATATTTAAAAAAATTGAGGTATCAGGGAATTAAAAAAATAAAATAAAATATCAGACATGGAAAAATTAAATGGCAAGCGGTCGGAGTCACATTTACCGTTTCGGCGAATTTTCGCGGATGAAATTCAGTCATATCAATTTTAACCCACGCAATCAAGAATTTAGGGCAAGAGTGAAATTTTTTACAACAAAAACAAAAAGCCAACAGAAAGCTATTTTGTGAGCTTGTGAGGCGTTTATACTATAACTATACATTTATATGATATACTAACTATACATTTATATGATAGTTGAGACTAACCAGACAGACCAGGCTTAAAGGGGTCATATGATGTGATTTAAATTTTTCCTTTCTCTTTGGAGTGTTACAAGCTCTTGGTGCATAAAGAAGATCTGTAAAGTTGCAAAGACTAAAGTCTCAAATGATATAAAAAGAATGAATAAAAGTTAAGAGTCAACCACGCCTACCTAAAACGGCTCGTTC